CCGCAAAATTTATTCTCAAACAGGCAATAAAACTAAAATTAATAAATTTATTAAACGCGATATCGAATTTAGTGATCACGGTATAATTCAAGGTACTAAATTCCAAGACGCATGAATCGGTTCAGGAATAACTTCCAGGTAGATGGCAAGACGACTGAATAAACCCGTTGAAGCAGAGCGGACAAGAATTACAAAAGAAAAAGTTTAATGGCGAAATCTCGCAGAGTCTTTCAATTCAATTCAGCAGTGGATCACAAAAGCCTGGTGATGATGCCTATGATGAGTATAATCCACCAACAAGGTTTGTTCACAATCTGCGCCTTGACCTTCGCGCAATCACGCTGTCGAAGAGGTCGGCTTCGAACTACGGAGGAGCCAGGTTCTGTGCCGGCCAAGGAGCTCTCTCTGTCTTAATTCCGAATTCTCTTGAGCAAGCAATTTACCACACAGCTTCGGACAAGGATCGCTGAGTCGGGACAGCTTTGGACTCAGAACTGCGAGGTCCCGGGTTCGAGCTCCGGTGAGGGTCGTTCTCCTTTCTTCCTTCCGCAATTGATGAAGGAGTATCACTCTGTGGAATGAAAAAAAGTTGGACACTAAACTCTGTACTTTCACGTAGCTGCTGCCGATTCTCCGCTTGAAAAAGATGATACTGCTGGCTGATGAGATGGCAATGACGAGAAAAGCGCCACCACGAAGTTCATAAAAAGAATATCGCATATAGTCCCATTATTTGGGACAGATCGCCATCGACCGGGGACAATCTTTCATGCTTTTCTTGTTTCGCTTTACACTTACCACCGGACTTCTCACCGAAACAATTAAATTTAAACTTTGGATTTCGTTTTCTTTCTAAAGGTGTCTCAATTTAAAATCTCTGCCGTTGCGAGGACACGTCACGGAGTCTGCATGAGGTTTAGACTCAGTTCGAGAGTTCATCACCATCGAAGGGACGTTTTGTCCAGGTAGAAAGATCTCTGTTAATGAAAATCAGAAATTAGGCGTGATCATGTGTTCGCGGACAGAAGCCTTTCCGAAGACTCCCATCTTCGTACAGTTTCTCGATGTCCGATTCGCTCCATAGATTGCGTGTGTCGTAGCGTTTAGTAAGTGCTTAATTTTATTGGTGCTGTCGAAGCCGAAAAAGGTCGACTTCGGTTCACTGCCGCTCAGTTACTGTTTGTCGCTTGAGTTGTTGCGGCAAAAAGCCATCGCAACCAGCTTTTTCTTTCCGGATCATCATGTATCGTAACTTATCGCCGTGTCTAAGAGGCCGACCATTAGTTGCGGTGATTGATGACGATTTGACGATTTGTCAAAGCTGTTGCTGGAGCTCGGCAGCCAGGCCGAGTCTCAGTTGGTTCTTTATCTTTTGACC